TTCTTGTTGTTTTGGTTTTTCCGGTCTGGGGTTGTTTGTGTATTTTCCTCATAGTTTTCTGACTCCAGTCTCAGTGAACAGCTTTTTCTCGTAGACGTGTGACTTTAATCTCAGAGTCTTCGTTTTTTCCTCATAATGTTCTGGCTCTGATCTCGGGTCGTTCCTCGTGGTGCTGCAGCAGAAGTCTTCTGGACTCTGCGGGTCAGCGAGCTGGACTGACGGTGTTTTCCTGCAGGGACGGCGGCCTGAAGAGGTCCAAGGTGAAGGACTCGTTCAAGGAGGAGCAGCAGAGGCTGTACAGCAGCATCATCGTGGGACAGAACGGATCAGCCGTCAGTAATCAGTAATCAGCGTCTCCTCCTGGTCCCGTGGTGACGATGAACCCGTGACCCGTCTGACTTGTTCTGCTGCTGCTGCTTCTGTGAGGAGCTGCAGCGCCCGGTTCCACCAGCAGGAGGCAGCACGACACAACAAACCAGCTCGTCTTCATCCTCAGGAACCAGACGGGTTTGTGTCTCCTCCACTCAGCGTCTGATCCAGATCCAGTGTGTGACAGCAGAGCAGCTTTCTTTAATCTTTGTGTTGTTCAAACATCGGATCAGAACTGAAGGATCACCGTCTCCTCGCCTCACATCTGGACCAGTGACACCAGTGACACCAGTGACACCAGTGACACCAGTCATCTACACGCTGAGCTTTTACTGACTGACAGGGACTTCAATCTGAAACAATCACAGGCTTTTCTCCTTTAAATCTGTGAAATATCTGAATTTCTTTTTGTAAATTTTCAGCTTTAATTGAACAAATAAATTATAAAAGCCCCAAATTATCAGCAGCTCATCTCACACCATGTTCTCAGAGAATTTAGATTTTTTCTCTCTTCAATTTGTGCCTTTAATTGAACAAATTCTGTCTTTTTTCTTCTAAACTTGTGCCTGAAATCCCCAAAACACGAGCAGTTCATCTCACACACGTCTGACGTGATTATCAGTCACAGAACAGTTTTTTTTCTTTCTAGTAAATTTATGCCTTTAACTGAACAAATAAATTATAAAAACCCCAAATTATCAGCAGCTCATCTCACACGTTGTTCTCAGAGAATTTAGATTTTTTTCTTTTAAACTTGAGCCTTTAATTGACAAATTCTGTTTATTTTAGTACATGTGTGAACCTATTGTTTGAGAATATCAGAATTATTTTCTAGGAATTTGTTCCTTTCTTCTCAGTGAATTTAGATTTTTTTTCCTCATAAATTTTTAACTAAACAAAAATCCTAAACCTGTGAGTTTATTCTCAGAGAACTGTTTTTTTTCTTCTAGTAAACTTGTGCCTTTAATTGAACAAATGAATTATAAAAGCCTCAAAGTATCAGCGGTTCATCTCACACGTTATGCTCAGAGAATTAATTTAAACAAAAATCCAAAACCTGTGAGTTCAGTCTCAGACACTTGTAGTTTTCTTGTACGTTTGTAATTTAATTGAACAAATTCTGTTTTTTTTTCTTCTGAACTTGTGCCTTAAATCTCCAAAACACGAGCAGTTCATCTCACACACGTCTGACGTTATTATCGGTCACAGAACAGAGTTGTTGGTGTTTTTTTTCTAGTAATTTGTGTCGTTATTCTCACAGAATTTAATTTTTCTTTCCTCGTATATTTTAAACTGAATCCATCCCAACCTGACTCTCATCTGCACACCGTCCTGGTTTCTCTGCTAATCTGAGCGTTGGTCCCATAAATCTGTGGCCTTCATTAAAAAGACGTCTCATCGTGGTGGTGTCCAACCTGCGGGCCGAGGCCCCTCACAGGGTCGTGGGTTCCACCTGAAGGGTCCACACGAGAAACGTCTTAATGTGAAAATACCAGCAGGAAGTTCGTCTATTCAGTAAATTCTGTTTGTAGAACATGAATAAAAATAATAAAACGATGGCTGTTGTTGTTTTGTTCGTGTTTCACAGAATTCATCATCATCAGAGGAAGTAATAAAATAAAAGTCCAAAGAAAGAAAGAAAAAAACAGCAAAAAAGAACCAGGAAAATATAGAAAATATAAAAAGGAGACGAGTTAAAAAAAAAACACTCCAGAAATAATTAAATAGAAAAAAACCCTGAAATAAACCAAAAAAGGAAAATACACAAAAAATAAACAGAATAAATGCAGAACTAGAAAATATATAAATATAAAATACATTTAAATAGAAACAAACAGAAGAGAAAAGAAAAACTAAAGAAAACCACATTAAAGGAGAAATATCTGGTGGTTACCAACCTGTGGGTGGAGGCCCGTCACAGGGCCGGCGGCTGAGGCCTAAAGGGTCCAAATGAAGAACGATAAACCTGGATTGTTTTAACTTCATCTGCATAAATCCAGGATTATTTTATACATCAGGTCATTTTACTGGCTTCATGTTGATTAAAGAAAAAAATACTTTAATTTATTTACTTCTGTTGGGCCTCTATAGCCTGGAATCAGCTGTGAAACAGGCCCTTCAGAATAAAAGC